GCAATTGCAGTATTTAAGAATTATATTAACTTATAGTTTAATTGCACCATTTGGGGGAAATATATTCCACATAAAGACTGAGTAAAATGAGAATAAGTTACATTCTCAAGTCACCCAAAGCCATTCCTGTTACTGCTAAGTTTGAGAAGACAATGGACTCTATCTTCAGAGTCCTCTGAAATTATCTAAATCTCTCAAATTCTGACTCCCATAGCTAGGCTTTCTTGTACAACCAGGGCCTTTAACAATGTATGGCATGCTATGGCCAGGGAGCGAGAAGGCCGTACTTGGCCAGCTGAAGGACGTTTCGGTAGCAGCTGTACAGGGAGCTCTCAGCTGCTGTGCGGTAGCGGCTCTTGTACTTGGGTCCCACTGTGTGAATGATGAACCGGGCCGCTAGATGAAATCCTTTTGTCAATTTGGCTTCACCTGTCCGGCACCCTGGGAGCAATGGAGCACATATGTCATGGTGGTGTTAGAGAGAAAACAAAACAATGCATGACACAGAGAATAAGAACGTTGAGAAACTTCCGTTAAAAACATGGGTTAAACACATTTACCTGTTCCCAAAATGACAGTGAGCAATACAATAGGTACGAAAACAGAGACAAAAAGAATGGGAGAGAACGTGAAGCAAATTAAGCATCAAAATTTTGGAGGGTAGACAGTCAATGACCTAGAAGTAACTGATTTAGCAACCCAGGGGAACCTAACTGTGCGGAAATGGGGCGATCAATATGAAGAAAAGGGGTGGTACTGAAAGGCAGTGCTGATTCCAGACAGACTGCTTTCATTCCATTCCAGATTCCACCATGTGCTGCCCAGACTCTTCCTAAGCAATACATCCTTAAGAAAAGCCACTCACCTTTAAGCTTCTGGAGTTCCTCCTTCAAATCAGGCCCTGCCAGCATGAAGATACTTTCTGACACAGGATTCTTATCTGTGAGGTTTTCATTGCTGGTGTTCACAATGGCGGTACAGTTCAGCAATGCCACGTCTCCTTTCCTGAGCAAACAATACATAAAGAGCAAGTGTGGGTATGGGGAGGAGATAAGAAAGCTAGTTTCTAATTCTTTCAAAACGTTCTACTCTCAGAAAGACGAATCTGGCGTCCTAGATAGATATGGAAAGCAATTCCTACAAGTCTAAAACAAATAAAACCATGTTATTCCTTTGCTTCCCTCACATTTGTTTCATTATAACAAAATGCTCATAGTGCAGAAGTGGTTGGTGTAAAGAGTTTAGATGCAGCAGTATTGTGTATAATACCCCAAATATGAAAACAACTAAACTGTCCATCAACTAATAAATTGATAAACTAAATGTGGTGTATCCATACAATGGGATATTATTTGGCCATAAAAAGTAATGAAGTACTGATTCATACTACAACATGGATGAATCTTAAAAACATTACACTAAGTCACAATTGATTCGATGTATAGTAAATGTCCAGAATAGGTAAAGCTATAGAGA